CGTTCAAGCCGTAACGTGCTGACTATTGACTACTTCTGTATCGGCTGCTCCTTTCTCCTTTCATGAACTCGTTGGATGTTTGGCTGTCTGTCCCGTTCCTCAACACACATGCTCACACCTCGTACCACAAACCACCCAACCCAACCCTACGCGACGAAGCAGAAGCAGCCCTAGTAGGCAGTCAGAGGTCTCCGGGCTTCAAACCCCCGGTACCCCCCAACCGGGCCCCTGGCAGCGTGCCCCTTCCAGTGTGGGCAGCCGCTTCTCTGTCCGGCGTTTCATGACGGGGTCGAGGATGGGGTCCTTCAAGAGGGCCTCGGGCATGGAGGATGATGACCAAGACTCGAACCTCTTCTTCGACCGGGTCTACTGCGCCAACCCGCAGGTACGCTACGTTACACGGAGGTCGCGGGTCCTGAAATACCGCGGTTATTATCACTTATGACTTGATTTGGCTACCTATACTAAACTACGTATTCCCACACTCAATAGTGCGACGTCCCGCTGCCCTGTTGTTTTTGCTTTTCGCTACACCGTCGTATATCGGGACCATAGCGGTATGGTGTACCCCCCTTGTTTCTCTTCTCGCGTGCTGGCGTTTGGCAGTGGTTTGTTGGTTGCCTTGCCCGTCTTGCGGCGGCCAATCCCATCGCGCCTAAAAGGAGTTGGTGGAACCCTGTCCAGTGTGCTTTGTTTCTGTCGGTCTCATTCGTCGAGTGTTACAGTATCGGACAGCACCAATTGCAGATTGGTCTCTTCAGGTTTGAACGAGTCGCACCCACCAAAACATGCAGCTCACAATTTATGTTACTATCGATGGCTGAGTCGTCTGTTTTTTTTTCCCGCGCCACCCCGTGTTTTTGTGTTCCACACACACCCTCGTGACGAAACTTTAGGAAAAGAGGCTCTTCCCGTCGGCCCACCTGGTCCGGGTTCTCGCCGTCGCTAACGCTGGCCTGGGCGTTCTTTACCTGCACGTGAGTTATGATACGTACACGGTAATGGCGTATGTACTCGTATGTAGGAGCGTTGCTTCTCGTGCATGAGGCTGCCACCGCAGGTAATCGCATACCCTATCATGGCCTCGCCCAACCTTACCTGCATTCCACCGTTGTTGGATGATGTGCCGTGTTGCAAAGCGTCTCGTGAAACGTGGTGCGTAGGGCTGCGCACGCATTGGTGAAGCGCTTGTAGTGGTGTGCCAACATGTTTCCGTTCTTGTGTTGCATTTTGCTTGTCGAAGGCACCGGACTGCACCTCGTAAACCTTGCACCTCAGTGGCCTCGCATGACCTCTCTCCAAGTCGACTGATGTGATACTGTCAAGAGGCCATCTGTTGACCCACACTTACCAGTATCAACTGGCGTGGGTGGTTCTGTACTCCACGGCTGGCGCCGGTGCGGCTACTGCTGTACCTACCATAGCTGCTATGCACACATGTTCACGTCTGATGCGTTGTGTGTCTCTGTCGTGCTTGCTATCGCCGATCCGCTTCCTCTGTCATGTCTTGTCATTTCAGTGGCGGTACACGAGCACCTTCCCGCCCACGGTCGGCCGTTGGGATTACATGTCTTGGAAGCTGTACTGGTGGTGGCTGTTCTTCTCGGCAGAGTTTTTCCTGGCCATCGCCGTGTGGGTCGGCCTGGCTCAACGTCTCTTCCCGGTGCAGCGGATCAAGGTCACCATGGACGACATCACGTCCGTCGACGATCAAGTCGGCTACAACGCACGGTAAGCGAGACGTCCACGCCACAACACATGACATCACATGACATCACACATCACACACCCTATCCAATAGCACTACAAGTATAATATCCAATAGCAAGAATTGCAGTATACAGGGAGTGGCACCTTGCGAACAGCGCTCTTCCGCTCGCATTCATATTTACGGGGGAAGACTCCCGGCAGGCGTCATCGCCATCCTGACGCTGTCGTGTCGTGTCGTGTCGTGCCGTGCCATCACGTTTTCTCAACGAATGCCTTGACGTACAGGGTGTGCATCCTCCTCCCCACGGCTGGAGAGAACCTAGAGGTTGTGTTCAAGGCGCTCGTAGGAGCCCTCTCGCAGCGTCTCTGGGACTCTGGCCTGCCCGGGAGCCAGACTCTTCGCG